CTGCGGCAAGCTGCAGATTCCGACGCACATGCTCTTTTCGCCACGAGGATGACATGAGAGCTGTGTCGTCCGCAAAAAGAGCCAGGGTCGTATTGGAGGTCCTTGGGATGTCACTGGTAAAAATGTTGTATAGCATCCCTGCTATCTGCATCCTGTAACTCCCTCCGAGTACCGCTCCTTGCGGCACTCCAGCTTCTGTGCTTCTGTCCTCTGACCATAGTTCTCAACTTTGACGCTAAATGTCCTTTTGCAAATGCAACTGTCGATTAACTGGCACATTTTCTTACTAATACCAGTTTTCGCCATTTTATAGATAAGTCCCTTTCTCCACACTCTGTCGAAAGCTCTTTCGACGTCCAGAGGCAGGATGCCGGTTGTCCTCTTCTGGTTCATTTCCTTGGCGCACCCTTCCACAATCCTGAGCAGCTGAAGTTCAGTGAAGGGTTTACCACGGAACCCAAACTACTCAGGCGGCAGAACGTCAAGCTCACTCGTTTCCCTCGTAAGCCTTCGCAAGATAACTTTTTCCGCTATCTTGCCAAGGCTGGACAACAGACTGATGGGCCTGTAGCTCTGAGGAAAAGTCCTGTTCCTCTTGGGCTTCGGGAGCATAATGACGTCTGAGTGTTTYCAGATGMGTGGGAAGTGTCCAGTTCTGAAAATGGCATTAATMAGATTTGTGACASCTACCAGTCCTTTTCTCGGCAGGCYCTTGAGCATTTTATTTRTAATTCCAWCTYTCCCAGGGGCTTTCCTMGTCTTCGAGTGCCTGTTGATRGCTGCCACTTCTCCTGGTGAGGTTGGAGGGAGACAGCTGTCCTCTGCCTCGCCTTGTGGTTCTCGTCGGCACTTATATAGTTTCCGYCGGGTAACCCAGATGRTTCTCGAAATCTCCAGCCCGGGTGCGAAATTTCCCTCTTGTCAGTGTCATACTTGACAGTAAATGAGTGTAAAGGGGGCTCCCATTTACTGAAATACCATGAAATTCGATCCTCCCATTCCAAACGTGAGTACCCCAGGCCATTTTCGTTACAATAYTGAAGGCACTAAGAATACTGTTAATAGACGTTTGCTACTTCTGTGAAGTATGTGACACARACTTTAACTTACAAACGATACACTATCAAAATCCATARGTCCGCAACATTATCCCTGATCCAAGATTAATGTTAGCTTCATCAGATACCTGMAAGATAATTATCGTTAAATAATTAGTTCCTAAAATAAAACTATAAACTAGATAACCAAATTATAAACATACCTTTGGCGAACGTCTGGGTTTTCTTGCAATAACTTTTTCAAATAAGAGCTTCCTATGTTGAATTTAGTTACGGTTTAATCCTCGAAGGTTTTGAAAACACCTAACCAGTAGCCCGTACTTAAAAAAACAAAGGTCGATTTGACAGTACTCGATGCACAACCGTAGGCCAAACAAACTTTGTCTGCCATCCAGGCCCAAATTGACAGGTAAAAAGTCACGTGGTTTTGGATTGTCTTGTGGTGTACCTCTGGCAACACCAGATTTAGGGAAGTCAATGAGAGACGTTGGCAACCCTGCCAACCAGGTATAAAAGAGAGCGAAAAGTAAAGTTCCGGGTCTTGGCTCTCGCTCTGTAGTCACTGCCTCGCCAGTCCCGCGCTTTCCCTCGATTCCACGTGCAAAATATAGTTTCTGTTTGTTCTTCTGTGTTTGATTGAATATAGGAGGAACGACATCCCCATAGTTGGTGACCCCGAGTGTGAAAACGAAATTCAAAGATCAACACCGGAGAAGGAACAAGCAGACCGGAAAACGCCGCAAGCGCCCACGTGGACCGCGTTGCCATCAAGGCGCCACCCTTCTGGACTGCGGATCCCAAGCTGTGGTTCGTCCTGCTGGAAGCACAGTTCGAGTTCGAGTTCGAGTCCGGGATAACGTCGGACACCACCAAGTACAATTACGTGGTTAGCCCCATAGACACGTGCGTGCTTACGCAAGTATGTGACTTCGTCACAGCCCCACCAGCCACCGGAAAGTATAAAGCCATCCAAGAAAGGCTGGACGCAATATTTTCTAAAAGCAGCGAAAAAAAAATCAGAAAACTCCTATCCGAAACTTCATTGGGCGACCAGAAACCGTCGCAGCTCCTCAATGAATGACGGACTAGGAGGAACGTCGGTGTCTCAAGAAATGCTTAAAATCTTGTGGATGCAACATTTGCCCACCCAAATTCAGTCAGTACTATCGAGTGCTGACTCCTTGGAGACCCTGGCCAAAATGGCAGCTAAAATTGCCGAAATAAAGCAGCCATAAACCTACGCTGTTCAGCAGTCCGAGCATAACTGTGCCGAGGTATGCAGAGAGCTAATTAAGCAGGTAGGGGAGCTAAAGTTGGAACGCAACGACATCCGAAGGTACCGAGGGAACAACCCAGGTTTCCGCCGCCGCAATCGCTGTCGTTCCAGGTCAACCCCCCGTACCCATCAGGAAGACCTCTGTTGGTATAATACAACACACACGGCGACAACGCCCGAAAGTGCCGACCGCCATGCAGGAAAAACACCGGGAAAAACGGCCAGCCACGCCTGTAAGGGCGACTACCAGAGTGGTTCAAGAAGCCAACTTGTGTGTGTTAATAGTGTCAGCTATAGGCTAGTGATTAGGGACCCGGTTGCCGGTATTCGATTTTCAATCGACTCAGGTTCGGATGCCTCTATTGTGCCCAAATCAGGAGGAGACCAACTTAAGGTAAATGCATTCACATTGTACGCAACAAATAACGCCCCCATTCCCACGTACTGCACAAAATCTATCACTGTCAGTTTAAGATTGCGAAGAAGCTTCACTTGGCCTTTTTTAATATGTAACTCAAACGGACCACGCCAAAATCGGCGCATACTTTATTCACCACTTTAAACTCCTCATGGACTTGCGCTCAAACACAATCATAGATCCTTTCACCAACATGTCGATATCTGCAAAACCCGCTGCCAATCGCTCCGCTATCAGTTCCGTGAGCACGTTGGATTCCAAATGCGAGTATTTCTACATTCTTAAACAATTTCCCGAAATAACAAAGTTTTCGAATAAATCCAACGAA